ATTCTGGGCCCCTAAAAGGCTACTGTTAATTAATATTCTAGCAAAGCAACGAACATGAGGAAAAATCTTTGCCCGAGCTAAATTTATTTTGAGGAAAATTGGAACAAAAATTCTAAAGCAAGGCACCAAGCAATAAGGCACTTGTCAGCTACGTTGTTGGAAAGTCAAATTATCAATCATCTGTAGTTCCGGGTATTCAAGATAATATACATAGAAACTTCAGCATACAAGTACTAGCTGTGTTGCTTCTATAATGCCCACAGTGGGGATACAGAAGCAATTAAAGTGTGACACCTGGACAGTCAATCGATCGGTTAAATGGCCGACGTGACGCACGTAACTGTAGCCAGTACAAAAAATTGGCACTAATGGATGAGACTCGGTATTTGCTTTGCTGATGACCGACAGGCGCGTCAGTATCAGCGAGTGATATCAACGAGAAAACTAAACGTTTACTCGAGGGACCTGCGAAAAAATGGCGCAGATACATCGAACAAAGCTTTTTGGGTACCAACAGGAGGTATGCAGTTCAGGAATGAAAAGCGTGGCACAGCTGTGTCCGGCCTTTGAGAGCGTCCCAGTAACATCACTAACATGGGGCTACCCAAACTGATTGTTCGGGAGCACTTTTTTTGGCATTCTTGGTTTATTCATATATAGTTGCACTCTTTGACTTTGTGCAGTATTTCTAAAGATATAAGTCAAACGAGGAACGAGCGGAGGGAGACAGAAGGCTCGGAAGTGTTTCAGAAGGGGTAACATAATAATTATTCTTTGACAAGTGACAGTATTCATAAAAGAGAGAAGAGCATCAATTCGTCTAAATAATTGGGCTTTCTGCCGAACCTCAAGGTCAAATCAACAGTGCAATTCTAATATTTCTTTTGGTTTTAAACTTCTTTTGCAACTAATTCAGCTGATTCAGGGACAAAAGAAATTGAAAACTAAAAGCATATGTCAACGCATAGACGATTCCAAGCCCCCGTCCGCTTCTAATCTTCTAGCCAGGGCACTCAAATACTAAAGAACACGGGGAGGGGATAAAGGATTTGAGGCGTTGAGTACCAAGAATGGGGTGGGAAATTCGTGTACATATCCGTATGTGGGATTATGACGCGATTATGATTACCATG